GAGGGACTGGAGGAAGAGGAGGAGGAAGAGGCCCCTTCTGCAAGGAAGGGACAAGAGGATGATGGGGATGGAGAGGTTGGCAAAGAAGAGAGCACAGGGGACCCATGAGCCGGGTCACCGGGCAGGAGGGCCCTTGGAAGGGGGGAAGGCTGGCTGGCAGGAGGAAAGCAGGGAGAGGGGAGTGTGTATTGGGGTGAATGGGTCAGCCCAGATGCCTGAGAAATGGGGGTGATCCCTTTCGCAGGGAGTGGTGGGAAGGGCTGGAGCGGGATCAGCGAGGCTGGCCGCTACTCCTGGGCTGCATCATTTCAGCCTCCCTTGCTTAGGAGTGGCACGCCTGGCGGTAGCAGAGGAAGCGATGACATATCGCTGGGTTTACACTTACAGTGCGGGTCTGTGGCAAGTAAGAATTGCTGCCTTTTATCAGGGCAGAGATGCTGGGCAGAAATGTCTTTTGCAGGCACATATGTGGCTTTGTGTTTGAGATTAATGTGGGTAGTCAAAACAGGGTTGGTTTGTTTTTTAAATGCAAAATTCTTATTACTTTTTTTGCATGGGCTATCCTTAGCGTTGTCTCTGACGCATTTTGGGTATCAGCTGGCAGGACTTTAGCGTTGTCTCCGACGCATTTTGGGTATCAATTGGCAGGACAAAGTTCCAAATAGAGTAGTCCTAGAACGAGTTGGAATTATTAGCATGTATACATTACAGTGACGTCTATGTTGTCATGAGAATGGCTGATGGTTGGATTCCAAAAGATCTCCTGTATGGAGAATTAGTGCAGGGAAATCGCCCCAGAGGGAGACCACAGGTGTGATAGAAGAAGATCTGCAAGCGGGATCTAAAGGCCTTAGGAATGGACCTCAACAGATGGGAAACCCTGACCTCTGAGCGTTTAGCCTCGCGGCAGGCAGTGCATCATGGCCTCTCCCAATTTGAAGAGGCACTTGCCCAACAGGCCAAGGCAAAGAGGCAATCCTGAAACCAGCAGAACCAGGTAGCTGGACAGGGGACAGATTGTATTTGTCCTCAGTGTGGAAGGGATGGTCACTCTCGAATTGGCTTTCTCAGCCACGCTACACGCTGTTCCAAGTCCTCCATACAGAGCACGTTACTATAGTCTCTCGAGACTGAAGGATGCCTAATTAAATTTATCCTTAGCTAGGATAAAACAGGATGAGGATGGCAGTTTGCTGGAAACTGTTGTTGTAAACCTGGGATCTGTGCCCAGCTGAGAAGGGACAATGTGGGTCTTGAGGCTGTTGTGGTGACCCACGCAGGTGGATGCTACACGTGTCGTCTGAAACCAAAGTAAAATACTTGAGTTTGGCTTTTGCCATCTCTCAAACATGGCCAGCTTCAGCTTTGTCTGATGCTCTTGACTTCTGCCTTCTAAACACTCACCCTTTTCGTTTGTTCTGATTTTCCAGTCTATTGATCTGAAGAAACCCATTGACAAGCGAATCTACAAGGGGACGCAGCCCACCTGCCATGACTTCAACCAGTTCACGGCTGGTTCAGAAACCATCTCCCTGCTGGTCGGCTTTTCAGCCGGTCAGGTGCAGTACCTGGATCTTATCAAGAAAGAGACCAGCAAGCTTTTCAATGAGGAGGTGAGTCAAAAGTGTTTTGGAGAAACAAGCATTTAAGAGTCACTGCCAATGTGTTTCCAAAAGAAGCTGATTTTAGTTGCACTAGGGCCTCCTTTTGAGTCACCCCTTTCTCTTAATCCGAGTTTGCTGCTTATGATTTGAGCTTTGCTTTTAATCAGTAGTAGTTGATTTAATCAGGAGATAAACTATAGTTTTCAATGTGGCAGGTTTAAAATCCTACTGTGTGTTTCCTCGAGAGATTAATCAGAAGGATGGGTAATTAATTTTGTAAGTTATTTACAATCGAGTGGAGTCCTGGAAAAAAAAAATTGTTAAAACTAAAACTGGCTGAAGAGGGGAAGATCAAGGGTAATCTTTAGAGCTGAAAGATGGGATAGGAATGCTAAATAAGGATGGGTGCATCTGTCAAACTCATATTCTCATTTGTCAAATGTTTCATTCATCTTATCCCATCTCTGCATTGGCTTGTGAATTTGCTCGCAAAAAATCATGTTTTCATGATTATTTCTCAGAACACACGCATTTATATGCCTTGTTTCAATGTTCCATTTTTGTTGGGAACGACAAACTTTTCCCATCATAACTGTGACCTAGGACTAGGATTTATGGCATTGCTCAGAGGTTACTATCTATGTAAGGATGCAAAATTCTGGACTGGGTTTAATGTCTTTTATTAGGTCCCCAGAAAGCTGTAAGCAAGGTGAGGTTTTGCATTGCTTTTCCCCAACCCTTCAACTGTTCTTCGTGAACAGATATTCCAAAATTTTGGAAACTAAAGAAGAAGCAAAGGGCTCCAAAATGTTTGGCCACTATTCTTGTTGGCCGGCTGACTTGCAAAAGGAAAACTGCCCTGTCCACTGTTCATCTCCCTTGCCATCACTCCATTGCCTTACAGATCAATTTAGCATTAGCAACTTGGGGGAGGGGGGTTAACCTCTAGCAGAGTTTTGGGACTGTTGGCTCCTTCTCAAAGTTCCCCACATTTTACATCATAGTCAAGTGAAAGAGTTCTGAAGGGCTCCCAAGCTTGCTGTGTTCATCAACGTCCCATTTTTAGGGTGGGTATGTCTTCCTCACACCGGCCCGGGCCTGTTCCTCTTGCTTTCCGCCCTGCAGAGGCTGATTGACAAGACCAAGGTCACCTTTGTGAAGTGGATCCCTGAGACCGAGAGTCTTTTCCTGGCTTCCCACGCCAGTGGCCATTTGTACCTGTACAACGTAGAGCACCCTTGCGGCTCAGCCTCGCCCCAGTACACCCTCCTCAAGCAGGGCGAGGGCTTCACCGTCTACTCCTGCAAGAGCAAGAGCGCCCGCAACCCGCTGCTGAAATGGGCGGTGGGCGAAGGGGCGCTGAACGAGTTCGCCTTCTCCCCTGACGGCCGGTACCTGGCTTGCGTCAGCCAAGACGGCTGCCTGCGGGTCTTCCATTTTGACTCCATGCTCCTGCAGGGGATGATGAAGAGCTACTTCGGCGGCCTGCTGTGCGTCTGCTGGAGCCCCGACGGGCGCTACATTGTGACTGGAGGGGAGGATGACCTGGTGACCGTCTGGTCCTTTGCCGAGGGCCGGGTCATCGCCAGGGGCCACGGCCACAAGTCGTGGGTGAATGCGGTGGCTTTCGACCCTTACACCACCAGCACGGGGGATGACGAGAGCGGGGAGTTCAGCGGCAGCGACGAGGAGGCCCAAGACGCCACCCATTTCGGCCGCGTGCGGACCAGCAGCACCCTGTCCCACCTCTCGAAGCACAGCACCAAAAGCACCCCTTCCGTGACTTACCGCTTTGGCTCGGCCGGCCAAGACACCCAGTTCTGCCTTTGGGACCTGACCGAAGATGTCCTCTACCCCCACCACCCGCTCTCCCGGGCCCGGACGCTCACCAACACCTTCGGCGCTGGCCTCCCCCCTTCCAGCAGTGGCGGGAGCAACCTAGCGGCCGAATCCGGCGGAGGGGCCCTCCCGCGCTCCCTCTCCCGCTCCAACAGCCTGCCCCACCCCGCCGTCACCAGCGCCGCCAAGAGCCACGTGGCCGACGGGGTGGTCCCCTTCAGCATCGGCAAGTTCGCCACCCTCACCTTGCAGGAGCGGAAGGACAAGAACGCCGAGAAGGAGCACAAGCGCTACCACAGCCTGGGCAACATCAGCAAGAGCAACGACAAGCTCAACGTGGTGCCCAAAAGCAAGCTGGATACGGCCAAGGTCCTGGGCACCGCCCTGTGCCCCCGCATCCACGAGGTGCCCCTCCTTGAGCCTCTCATCTGCAAGAAGATTGCCCACGAACGGCTGAGCGTGCTGTTGTTCCTGGAGGACTGCATCATGACGGCCTGCCAGGAGGGCTTCATCTGCACCTGGGCCAGGCCGGGGAAGGCGGTAAGTCAAAGCGCGCTCCTGGCCAGTCCTTTCCCACGCCGGCGGCTCCCACCCTTGCCTTCTGATGCGTTGGGTTCTCATCCTCACCCCTTTCGGAGGAGGGCCTGAGCCTCTGTTTTTGCAGCCCGAGGGTCCCCAGTGCCTAGAAAACCACGACTGAGCCCAGAGAGCAACCCGTCTAGATCGCATGGACGAGATCGGAGGTTCCCAGCCTTGAAATGTTTCTGGTCTAAAACTCCCAGAAGCCTTCGCCTCTAAGTGTGCTGGCCAGGATTTCTGGGCATTGTAGTCCAAAAACATTTCGGGGCCCGAGGTTGAAAATCGTGAATCTAGATAGATCAGTGGCAGGTGGACCTGAGGCAGCAGTATAGATGTAAAATATC